CTTTTGCATCTACTTTCTCCTGTATTTCCCATGTGTAAGGAGCACTGTGATGCTTTGGGTACACAATCCACCACTGTGGACAAGAACTGAACTGCAGATATGTTTGCCTGGTAGGTGTGGACTGCTGAATCCAGTAAGATGATGGTTCACTACAGCTGTTATGCAAAGAATTAATATAATAACTGGGTTATTGTATTTTTTAAAGCTCTAGATTAAGAGAGAAAAATCCCCTTTTTTGGTGACTGAATTTAGGAGCTGCAAACTCCCATGCATTAAGGACTAATTCAGTGCTAGAAATCCTGAGCTGTTTGATGATGGTCTTGAACAGACTATTCTGAGACTAACTGAACACCCCCAGGGGGAAAAGAAAGATATATGATCAAGGTAAAATGAAACCAAACATATCCTCCTTCCCTGACTGGGAAGACATTTGACTTGACACATAATTTAATAGGTATATGCTGCTTACATATGTCCGGAATTAGAGGCTAATCCCCCCACAAAGGTAAATGGTCTGAGTCAAAACGAGTGTCATGCCTGTGATGTTATTAATCTTGACTTATTTTCAGATCATGATGGCTTCAGATGTGTTTTGCCTACCTCTCACCAAACAGGCTGAAGAGACGATCGTACACCAGCCGATCCTTCGGGTACTGTGGTGACATCAAGAACTCCTGAAATCAAATCTCAGGTCAGTGAATACTAAGTGCAATCCATTGCCCAGACAAAACATAAAAAGCCACTCACACTTTTACTCTCTTCCTTCTGTAGCAAGAGCCTGAAGAGCAGATGAATTATTTGGTGTGCCCTGATTCCCCAGTTCCTGTGCTGCTAGCTTGTTTTGCATGCCTCTAGCATTTTTTGCCCAATGACCTGAAATCTCACTCTGTGGTAATTGCAAAGATTTAGAGAAAGAAATTCAGCCTCTTGTGCCTTGTTCATTTGAGATATTGAGATCTTGCAGAGAGCCTACTTTTCAGAGAAGGTGTGTGTTTTCTATATGTGCTGTTTAAATAAATGCAACAAAGTAAACTAATTGATCAAGGTAGAAAATAAGTCAGGACAGCCCAGAGAGAGAGCACCTCATCCTCCTAACCTGGCCAGAGCCAAGCACAGACTGGCTGCTCTAAGCTGCTCTGAACACCAGGCACCAGCTCTCTCTTTATGGAGGGATGGGCTGATCCACACTGTTGATTTGGCTTTATTTTACAGTACCTTCACTCCTTCAGGGCTCACAACCATTAATGTGACTCTGTGAAAGGCATTAAGTCGTACAACAGTTCCATATTTCTCTGCCCTATAAGAAGAGATGATTTAAAAAAAGAAAATTATGATATAAGCTACCAACATGCAATAGTTCAGTCCTAATAACCTCTAAGGACCAGAGCACATTGTAGTGGGAACTACTGCAGTCCTCAGTGAATAAAACCATTCAGAAGATCACAGAATCATCAAAGTTGAAAGAGATCTTCAAGGTCATCTAGTCATCTAGACCATAATCACCCTTAAATCATATCCCCAAGTGCCACATCCAGCCACCTCTTAAACACCTCCAGAGATGGTTAGTCCATCACCTTTCTGGGTAACTTATTCCAATGTCTAACCACTCTTTTAGTGAAAAAAAAAAATTCTAATATCTAACCTGATCTGAAAGATCAATGCTGTCTCTCCAGCTCCTCTACTGACTTTCTGAATGATTATAAATATGCAATTCAGGGTCTCCATGCAGTGAATTCCCCATTTGTGCTACAGGGATACTCCCATTTGATGCTAGTGATGTGTCTCAACTTACCACTCCAGGAAGAGATCGTGTATAAACTCCTGATTCCTCATCATTCTCCATAAGATGGGCAGGTGTCCAAATAAAAAGCTGCAGAATAAGAAGATTAATAGTGTCAGAGGATGCCAGCATAGGGTTTTGTATAGACTGCAATCCTTGTTGCTCAGGGAGTGTTGTCATGTTTAACTTGTAAGGAAAGAAGAAAGTAACTCTGGGGTTTGCCCAGCCCTCATCATATTGATAAGCTGGGGACCAAGGTCAGGCTGGTGCACCCACACAACCATGGAGACCAGTACAGAGACACAGCACGAGGTCTTTTTTGCTGCTGTATTATAGGAGATGTTTGGGTCTGGGTGGGAGCCCCTTGCAAATTGCTTTGCTCTTTGCCTAACTGATTGAATCTCAACTGCAACTATTATGTTGCTGTACATGAAACAGATGTTTGCATTAAATATTCTTTAATGCTCAGCACTCATAAGCATAACTTCAGTTCTGTCAGTGGAGTTCTGTTAAGTAAAATTAGGAACCATCTCCTTCTGCCTAAAGCCATGTCACTTCAAATGCTGAAAAAAGAGCACAGCCTAGAATGATAATCACTGGTTAATACAGAAATCAAAGAAATTCATAAAAAAAGGTTGACTCTTCAAATACAATAGCTGTATAAAAAAGTTAGAGATCAATTCATTCCTTCAGCTGTGAGTGGTGAGGTGAATTCCCACTGGCTTTGCACACATCTGAAGGAAGATTTGGCCAAGCTCCTCTCTAAATGAAGCAAGCTGCACTCAGGATCTGTTTTCTATTTGAGAGACAGAGCCATGCTATCATCCTTTTCAATATAAATAAGCTATAGGGGAAACCCAGACTCTTATTTTATTACTGTTGGAACTGGGAGGTGCTTAAAATAACAATCACTCAAGAAAGTTATCCAGCATCTACAGAAACGTTTAATCCTCCACTTGTTTGACTCCTGCATTGTAACTGGACTCCAAAAAGCTGCAAAAGCCCCAAACATAAGAGTCCTTTGTTAGTCAACGCTCAGGGAACTGCTCTGTCTGCAGCTCAGGAAGCAAGGTCCCACTCATGGCTCCTCTTGTGTGACACATGAATCCTCAGAGATATTTTTCACCCCCTGTCCCATCACTACCCAGTTAAGTCAGGTGTTACATCAGGCCTAAAAAGTTCATCTGCTAATGAGAAATCCCAATTACTTACTGCATGTTATCAAAAAAGCTAAGTGTGAGCTTGGTTTGGGATATATATAGCTATGTGACACTATCAGCTGAAAAGATATATTTGCAAAGAAATCTCTTTTCCCATTTTTTGATATTCAATCTTTATTATGAAGCCAACCTTCAAAGAGACAACTTCCTCTCCACAGGTGAGCCATTCATGCAGTAAAAACAAAATAAAGTCACTAGGACTCACTTTTCCATCCTGTCCTGCACAAATCTCCTTTAGGGATGTGCTATGCTAGTTCTGATAAAAAAGTGAGCCCAGGAAATCAAGGGTGTTAACATAGTCTTGTCATCAGGCAAACGTAAGACTTTGACAAGGCTTTGATAAGATCCTGTTGTACTTCATCCTAAAATAAAGCTTTCCTAAGCTTCTATCAAA